GGATCCACCGCCACCTCCTCCATCTCCTCCTTCACAGAGGACGGCTCCATGGCATGGAGCAGCTCGGGAACCTCGCACTCTAAAAAAACCCTTTGGCCCAAACTGCGACGTCGGAAGCAAAGTGCACATTTCCTGATTGCAGCACATGCAGACTCTCACAGACATGTTTGGCAGCTTGCAACGACATGCCTGCACATGCATGCTGCCCGGGACCATGCATGACACAGAGAGCAAGAATGGCACGAGACATCAAGACTTCTACATGGCCATATGCAACAAGCAAAAGAGGCCTGTAAAAATGCTGAAGTACGAATCCTCGGGGACCCACAAAAAATCGAAGTATGTAGCACGGGTGACAATTTTATAGACTCCCATAAGAAGGTTGTGTCGCACACATAGTGAAGTCGCAGCACATATCGCGAAGTCGCGAAGCTGAGAACATGATCAACATCGCACCCTCATCCACGAATTCGTAAAAGTTTGTTATATAGGGTTGCACAACCTGCACCTGTCGCGAAGATAAGAAATATAGAGGGTTATACGTATAAGTATAACGATATGAGAATCAAATCCAAGAGGAAGCCTCGACACTCTAAACCCCGAATTATAAAGCCCTATATAAAGTATAAAACCTGTGTACAAACACATATAAACCCTAAACCTTCCAAACCGCCATTCCCCCGCAACACTCACCATGGAGCACTTTGTGATTGCAGGGCACATGTGCACAGGCTGAAACCAGTATACTGATTGGGAAAACTGATGTTCTTCCTATACCTCCGGAAAACTGCAATGGTCACATCGCAAAACTATACTGGACTTGGACAACTGACATTCATGCTACCTCGCGAAAACTGTATAACGGCGGATCACATGTCCTGACCTTCAAGGGGGGCTGCCTCGTCAACGTCGTTGTCCTCAGACGGGGCAGGCTCTGCAGCATCGGCTTCTTCATCGTCACGGAGGGCTGCTTTAGATTTCGGGCCTCGCTTTCGGCGCTTCTTCGGGCTGGCACCGCCTCGAGCAGCCTTTTTGGGAGGTGGCTGGATGAAGGGTGGCGAGTGCAGGATGGCCAAGCGAATGTATCCCAAGTTGGCCTCAGTCAGCTCGATCCAGAGGTCAGCCCCTTTGATCCCCCACAACATGACCATCTGGTGTTCTTCATGCACGAGCTCCTCGGAGTCGTTGTGCACTGCTGGCCCCGTCACCTGCACGGTCCGCCCGGCGAGGTATTCGTCCTGCTGGGTTGCCGGGCGGATCTTGGGCGGGACCGGGGTGCCTTCCGCTTCAGCAGCTTGAACGATTACCCGTTTCAAGGATTCCTGACAGGCGGCCTTCCTCAACTCTTCCATGGTTCGAAACCACTGCCGGTTGATATTGTGCTCTTTCGAGCTGTGTAGCCGCAACCCCTTGCCGGTCACGAATGTTGTTAGGTAGCGGTCCCATTTGTTGAACTTCGCAAAGTTGGTGCCGGACACGGACTGAATGGCAGGCTGCCATGACTTCTTTTTGAGGCCAGCCCCTTCAATGCAAATGGCTGTGTAGATCTTGATGGGGGTTTCCGGCTGATCCTCGTCCTCCGCATGCTCGAGCAGCTGTTCCACATCAGACATGGCTGCGAGCTTTGAACAGCGAGCTAGGCCCTGCTGTTCCCGTCAGCGAGCGGTAGCCCTGCTGACAGAAGTTCAGAAACTCAGCTGTGAATGCAGCTGAGCAGAGAGACAGACACACACACACGTTATAGGTCCATGCATGCAGATCCCCACATCCATGCATCATGAGCATGTCTACTTCGCAGCATCATGCAGCGAGGTTTTTTTTGCAATCCAAACCTGATTCTTTGCAAAGCCCAGGCTGAAACCTGGCAAGCGCCGTGTATGCAAAACGGAGCATGATGCCTCGCCACATGACGATTCTCCAAAGATCATGGCGAAAGCCATGCCTGCTTACACATATACTCTCATTTATACACTACATAATGGAGAGATCTCGGCATCGAAAATAGATAGTGCTACATCAGCGGTCAGTGCAAAACGGAGGTTCAACAAACCTCACCACGTGACGACTATGCAAAGATCACATCATCCTAGTGCAAAAGCGCCCCACTCACCTGGCGATCCTACTTCCTAGGCCGCTTGCTCACGGGCTGGAGGGTTTCCACTTCCTGGGTTTTGGCCAGCTCAGGCCGGTACAGGACTAAGGAATCCCCCGACTCCAATTTCGTGTAGTTCCGAATCACTGGAAGAGTCATGGAAGTGGATGTGGAGCTCAGCTTCTGATTGGCCCAGTTCTTCCCGGAGCAATGGAATTCCATGTTGCCCTCGTCGTAATCCGAGGTGCATTTCATGATCCAAGCCGGATTGAGAAACCCTTGCTTGCTGCCTTCTTTCGGTGCCTGAACGAAGGGCTGGACGGAGATGGTATGGCTGGGTTTGGTGCTGGATGCCCCAACCATAAGAGCGACCTGAAAGGACCCGGAAGGGATCTTCTCGCCATGCACCCTGAAATCGATACGGGAGCTTGCAATCGGAAGTTTCAATCCATGAACAGCGAAGCTGGACTTCACCTGCACATCGCGGCTCGGCTTCAAGAAGACATCCAACTGATCGAGCTTCATGCTGGTATACTGTTCAATCATGCTGCTGGAAACCAGGCCTCTCACGACTGACATGGTGAGCTCATCGTTTTTCACGGGCGAGTAGGTAGCCCATTCTTTGAAAAGTGTGGGTTCTTGCTTGGGGACATGCTGCTTCCACTTGCCGTCGACGAAGGACTGAGCGGACGCCTCGTACATCTTGCCATCGGCCATCTTCAGGCGGACGTTCTCGGAGGAGATGTCCACGATCGTGCCCTTGGTGTCGTCGGCCTTCCGGATGACTTCCATCCCGGATTTGAATCCCAAGTCCGCGACCCTGGAATCGGAAAGAAGCTTCCCTTCTTCGTTGAAGATTCGAAGACTCCTCAGAACGGCAATCTATACAGAGACCCGAAGTATACTCGAACTTGTAACCCTAAAATGCCCTAAAAGCCCTATAGAAGTATGAAGGTGTGCACATGTGTATATATATACTCATACATATAATCACCATGCATAGACGGAGCGAGCCACGCCCCCCGAGCAAGTGGGGCTGAGGAACCCGAACTCTTCGTGGGTGTGGTGGCCGCCCAGGGCGACGAGACACCGAACTTTTGAAGCCACGTCGTGGCAGCTTCCTCAATGCTGTCGTGCTTGGCAATTTTCTTCTTCTGGAGGACAACGGCGGCCAGCTCAACCTCGAAGTCGCCCAACACCGACTCCAAATTCTCGATGCCTTGCAACAGCCGCTGCACCTCGACAAGGACCGCTTCGGCTTGACCGACATTGTTGAGAACCTCCTTTGCCGAGAGAGATCG